CCCCCCCCAAGCACTTAGAATACAGAGCATCACTTGACCCAGACAGAGTGTTCCATCTCTAAGAACATGAGAGAAGCCTTGTTGGATCAGGCCAATGGCCCATCCAGTCCAACACTCTGTCACACAGTGGCCAGAAATACCAGGTGCCATCAGGAGGTCCAGCAGTGGGGCCAGGACACTAGAAGCCCTCCCCCTGTTGGCCCCCCCAAGCACCAAGAATACAGAGCATCACTCGCCCCAGACCGAGAGTTCCTATGTACAACTTGTGGCTAATAGCCATTGATGGACCTCTGCTCCAGATGTTTCAAAATGTGGCAGCCCAGTTGATAGCTGAGGTTACGTATTCCCGCTGTTTTAAGGTATTTGCGTTGGTTACGAATTTGTTTTGGGGTTCAATTCAGGCTTCTGATCTTGGCCTTTAAAGCCCTTCACCACCTGGGACCCAGACACCTGAAGGATTCTCTCTCTCTCCCGGTGCAAATCCGCATGAGATCCTTCTCACTGGAGGCTCCCATATTGCAGAACAACCTCCTGGAAAAAATCAGGAAAGAGCTTCATGATGGTCTTCTGAAGAAGTTGTAAAATGGAGCTCCTCAAGAGAGAGATTCTTGGTTAGAAATATTAGGCACGATATGAGAGCCGGCGTACTATAGTGGGTAAAATGTCGGAACGGGATCTGGGAGTCCCCAGGTTCGAATCCTCACTCTGCCATATAAACTTGCTGGGTGACTTTGGGCCAGTCACACATTCTCACCCTGACCTACCTCATAGGGTTGTTGTGAGGAGAAAAGGGAGGAGAGGAGAACTATGTGAGTTGCTCTGAGTCCCCATTCAGGAGAAAGGAGGGGTATAAAAGAAGTGAATCCAATAAACAAATAAAGTCACGTTTGTTTCAGTTTGCCTCTCCTTGTTCCTTTTCCAAACAGGGAAATGAATGATATTTAGAAGTAACGGGTGAAGGCTATGAGCCCTCTTGGTATTCTCTGGCATCTCACAGATGCTGTTTCAATTCTGAGGAATGGGGGGTCAGG